CAACCTGCTGAGAGTATTGTTTTTAATCACAAGTGCAAGAGGGGCTTCTCATGCGATGCTTCAGTCTCAGTGGAGCACAAAGCCGACAGGATGTGGAATTGCTCTCTCGCTGAGCGTTAGAGTGATGCTGAAGAATCTCGAGAACGATTTAAGCAGTTTGGGACCACTGCTGGTTTCATACTGGACTGGTGAAAGACCCACTGAAGGGCTTCACTGTGTTACATCACTGTCTCTTTAATGATAATCACAAGGATATTATAGGAATGGAGGAAGTAGAGTCAGGGGTGTTGCAACAGGGGAGGCAAAGAGAGCAACTGCCTGGGGCTCCAGGACGATAGGCGGCCCCAGAGATCAGCTGATCACATGATCTATGATCGGCCACATACAGGACACTGCAACTACGCTATGGTCTGCAGGTAAACTTTACTACTTCAAAAATATTTAAGTGTATTCACTGTCTGCACTACAGTCAAAATTTTGAAATTAAAAGAATTGTTCGGTCTCTTTTTGAGTTTGTTTTGATGAAGGGTCTCCCCTCTGCTCCCTCGCGCTGATGAAGATGAATCTTAATGCGACAACATACCGGGACATTTCAAGCAATATAGCGTTCCTCCAACGTTGTATTTGGAAAAGGCCCTTTCTTGTCTCCACATGCACAGAAGTGATTGGTCTGTCCGCATGCTGTTAATTTGAAGGTAGTTTATCGTCCACCTTTTGAAACCTGATTTAAGTTCTTAAGTTCACAGTGTGAATATTTGTACTTTATATGCAATGGTATAGGCTATATATACTTTATACTGAATATTATAGTACATATTTGTGCAATAGTTCAACAGTCACATGAGCAGTTTTTCTGAATATTTCAAGCAAATTGTCTAATAATACTTTGATAAAGAGATATTTTGAATGCAGTATTTGTACTAACTTAATTGTTTTTTTCATTTCTGAATGTTTTTCTTCTTCTGGTAAACCAAAGACATCACTGATTACATGTGTATGTATTTCTAAAACAGCTTTTAGTTCCTGTCCCCTTTAGGAAGGGACCTTATGAGATGCTACAGTAGCAGAGTGATCTGAGGTCTGTATGGGAAACTGCATCCTGCCATTCATCATTCATGCCTGCATCTCAAACTGTGCACCTCTCCCGTGTTGTTGTGCCTCACCTCTCATTGTCACATAAACGCCCACACATCACAAACACACACATTTCGACACTTCCACTCGCAGTTTTCAATTTTTTTTGTGTGTGATGTATTTACATCCTTTGTTTGCTCTGCGATGCACTTTGCCAGCAACCTGCTTTTTGTTAAAAGCACTTTGTCGATAAATTTGACTTCCCTCGACACTCAATACCGAGTCCATTAAGCCGCAGAGTCATGGGGCTACTCTGCCCACAGAGGGCCACTGGTTCCAGTAAGGTATATCTGCTGAACTCTCATTAGCAAGCATCATATGTAATTCTGGCACGTGTAATGCCATTAGAGGGGATTTGGCATCTGATAGTTGAGTAATGGGATTAGCTGGGCAGTAAATCTGCAGGACCAGAACTGAAGGTCTTCCCCACTCAAGGGAAGATGGACACAAAACCCAACCTGCCTTTTCCACAAGGAATTAATGCAAGTCATTCCTTGCTGGTGCATGTGTGCCTTTTACTTTCAAGCACTTGTTGTCATTTCAGAGAAATTATTTGTTATTTTGCATGATGTTGCACAACGATGGCGTCTCCGATTCCTCCCACTGTCAAGAAATAAAATCATCCCGCATTCGAACGCTGTTATTTTGGGGCCTGCACAGTCGTGATCTGGGGACGGGGCCGTGGTATCGAGGTAGACTTAATGTAGTCACACAAATATTTGCACAACACTAAACTAAGATGGTGAACACAGGGCGGATAGCTGCTAAAGGCTAGGATGTTAGCAGAGCTTAAAGGAAAATACAGCCTCACACAGCTGCGTGCACGGCCATAGACATCTCCCACACATTTCTCACCTGACTTGTTTTCACCTATTCTGTCTTATTTCCATATGATCGGACTTTGCATCCTAGCCCCCGGTGCCACACGCAACCCGCCACACGTTAACGCACATGTCAGAGAGCCCCCCCCCCTCCACTGCAGATGTCTGCATTTACCTGCAACATCATCGCTGCAGAGAAACAGAGGTAAATTAAAACACTTGATGGCGGCTCAACAAGGCTATTGCTGAATCATTTATTATCTGTGTTACCAGCAAGCGGCAAAGACCAGAGAACAAGAGGGGGACACAGGATGCACAGCTATACTGCTCCTGACTATTTAATGTGGGCTTCTGCACAGGATATACATTTGCTGTTTTATTTATACATATATACAACACCAAGGAGTAATCATTTTATCCTTTCACACACTCTCACAATATTATCATGGGTTTTGTTATTTACTTTGCGGTCACATAACAAACACAACCAGTCTTATTGGCTTTATATCTTTGTGTATTGCAAAATATTTGACGCTACACTGTTTCCTAAATGGGCCGCACACATTTGGTTTCGACAGTTTTGTCATTATTAGTTGTGTTATTTCATTTTTCTTTATTGTTAAGTTAGCTGAACCTGACTGGCCTTCTGGTTCTTGAGCCTGAACCTGCTGTTTTCCTCGATTACAGGCAAGTGCAGCATAGAAAATTAAGTTGCCCTGCCAATGTTAGTGAACCTGACCTGAACCTGAATGTCATTTTGACGTTTTTGCCAGAACCTGTCGATCGGCCAGTATATATACATTTCTCTTGTGTTTCAATTGTTTGAATTAATGTACTGTTTTATTTGCAACCTCTTTTAAGTAGAGTTCCTCAAAGCTTTTAAGTAATTAGCTTATTTTCATTTCTTTATATTTGGTCTGAAATAAATCTCATCTTCTGTGTGTGTTTATTCTTCATTTGACAGTTTGGTCCCAGACAAGTTGTCAGAACTTGAGCTATCCCCTTGTTTTTGCTCATTTCACTTTAGTATGGATGGTAATTTTGTCTCTTATGCTGATAAAGTTTCATTATTGAATGAAATATGGCTCTTGTTTATGTTACATTTGTGTGTGTGTGTCTCTTTGTGAAGAGTGTTTTTGACACTCACTACCCAGTGTTTCCTTTTTATTCCAAATAAATCAGATTACACGCACTCATAGTGTTTGTAATGGATTATTTTCTCTTTAAGACAGATACAGCTTCTCTTGAAACCGAGACCTAAATGTTATGTTGAAAAAAACCTTCCTGATCACTAACACGATGATACTTGATTTACCGGTATACGAACCCTGCAGGTGAGGTATAAGGTGATCACGCAGCTATTTTTAAAGCCAAGAGTTCGTGCAAGGTTCACCCTAAATGAGTGTAATTGAATTAGCTAATGTTTGTGACGCAAGACAAAGGAATCTAACAATGAAGGGTAATGTAATTATGCAGCCCACAACCAGAGGCCCACTGTGTCCTGATAAAAGCAATATTTTGAGGCATGTTTAGAATTAGACATTCTGTAGAGAGGCGTTTGTTTGTGATGAGAGTTCAAAAACAACACTTCCAAAGGGGGGGAAGAAGTGACATGCACAGGAAGTGAACTCCTCACCTGCCCCGGCGTCCGTGCCTCGAGCTCTGGTCGATCGAGCCACGCACAGGACCTTATTGTGTGCGTTTTGAAGGCCAACGCTCCGATATAGAACAGGTGACTCAGCTTCCAGCTTGGCAGAGAAATCCCCCGAGACCTCTGACCTCCTAATCGTTTCGCAGCGCTTATGGTTGGAGATCTGCTCCAGGCTATTAGAGAGATTAGTGTCACGCAGATTTGGGGATGGGCCAAGCCTATATCTGTACTTCATGGTATTCTCAGCGTTTATTACTGAACACTCCACCCGTGGTGAAATCGGATATGTGACATAGTAGCACATACCACAGCATGAGGCTATATGAAGGGGCCTTATGTGCAGCCCTGAGCTGCATGTTAGGAGCTTACTGTTTAAAATTAAGTGTTTGTGGTTTAAACCTCTTGAAACATCACTATAATTGGTTATGGACACTGTTTATATATTTACTTTTCTTTCTTATGTTGTTGTTTCTGGACATAAATGTATGCATATGTATAATAATGCAACATAAAATATGCAGTTTGAAGCCTTTACCTGTAAATGCATTTGAAATATATGGTTAAAACTATGTGGTTATTAGTTTGCAACAACCCAAACTGACCCGCCCCTCTTTTCCTGCAACGGCACGCGCTCGGGTCCAAAACGAACGCTCGTTCTCAACAAAAACAATCCCTAGCTCGTAAAGCAGTTTCGTCAAGTTCTCCACAATGAGTTGGGTCAGCGACGGAAGTCTCACAAGTTTGCTTTAAAAATGAAAGTACACCACATCATATGGAGGGGAAGAAAAGACATTGGATAGAACAACTGGAAACAAACATAAATGAATGCGCAATGATATTAATTTGCCAAGAACCCCAGATTGAAAACATCCTTATTGTGGACTAAACTATACTGTCAACTAAATGTAAATCAGCTAATCCTCAGTGATTGGTCAATAGAAAATTGATCAGCTAGTACTTTTATAATCAAACATTTGCATTCTTTGAGGTGAGGTTTTTCTGTGTTTGTATGGGATGTGTGTCACTCCAGTGAATATATGTGGGATTTGGACTGTTGGTCGAACAAAACAAGCCATTTAAAATAAATAATAAATCACATCTACACATTTTTGTCGCATTCTAGAGACATGGACGATGATGGATTTGTTAAAGAGGGGACAGAAGTGCAGGAATGTCTGTATGAAGGAAGCTGGATGTTGAAATGAACTTTAATATAGATGGGTTCGTTTGTTTACCTCGTGACTAAGTGGACATCTTTCTTCGCTCCATGATAAACGATAAGTCACGGACCATCTGCAGAAAAACACAAGGTTGAACTTTCTTACACTTCATCTCCATTTGAACCATTTTATTTCGAAGACATTGCCCGGAAGCTTCATGCCCGAGTTTGGCGGTCTTGCCGTGGGTCAGTGACGCCATCTTGAAATTGTCCCGACCAGAGGATGCGAGGAAGGAGGCGGACTCCGGGGAAACGCTGCTCGTCCTGAACCCGATAGCTTCACCAGCCACACGGATTAACGACGGCTCTTTAGCGGTGGTTGCTAACATTTGATAGCGGTTGTTGAATTCAGTTCGACGGGAAGAGGGAAGACCGTGCAACCTGCTTCGGAAAGGGCTAACGTGGCGGAGGGAGGGAGCCTCTTCATCGGTTGTTTTCCTGTTGGGGGAGCGGACGGGGCTCTGGTTGTGGCCGGGCAGCGTCGCCGGACCTGTCGGGCGAAAACCGACACTTTGACGCGGAATACAACAGCAGCGACACACGCGTCAAGCCTTTTCCACCAGAAGGAGAACGGGACACGAGTATTTCGACGCCCTTTTGACGTTTTCCCAGCTCATGCGACGGAGAAGTTTGATTGGAGAGCGGAGCGCGCTCGGTTCCCAGTCCGATGGATGTTAGCCCTGTCCGGCTGTGGCTCGGCTCATCCGCTCGGGAAACAACACCAGCAGGCACCGGTCAACACGTCGGTTCATAACAATGCTGCAGAGCTGGCATGTCCATGACAGCCGAGGCTTGAGCGCCAACAAGTCGCCCTCCATTGCTCGTCTATAAACCTGGAAATACCAGCAGCCATCAGCTCTTCATCCTCCTCCTCCTCTTCCTCCGATCCTTGTTTATTTGGGGGGGGGGACAAGTGCAGTTTTGGGATCTTCTGGATTTTAGGCTCGGATCTTTAAAGATGCTCTTCCTGCAGAGACCCTCGGAGCACACAGACATTTGATTTGACTCATTTGTTTTCGTGGGTTTCTCTTTTTTTTGTGTGTGTGTTGAGTTTTTTTTTAATTCTCTTTTTAATCAGTGGATCAGATTCGGATGGAAAATGGGAGACGCCACCAAACTGGCCTTCGCCGTGTTCCTCATCTCCTGCTCTTCAGGTGGGTGTGGAGGATGCGTGGCTTGTTGTCAGCTGTGGAGAACATAAGTGCAGTGCTTATTGTTACATGTGCAGAATGCAATGGATACCTTGTTATTTGGGGACAGTGCAATGCAGTCCTCTGGGTAGGGGGCTTATTATGTTTTTGCAGCCTCCATGTCTTCATGTGTATTGTGAATTTTGCAGATGTCCATAGGGGGTCCAAGATGGGACATGGGGACCTCAAGGGCCCCTCTGAGGAGATATACCACAACAAATGTCTTCTTTTCGTATCTGTTTTGGACATGGCAGCTGTTTTGTCCTTACTTGTACCTTCCAATTCGCAGTATTAACATATGAAATGAAGTCAGATCTCACATTAGATTAAATGAGCATCAGCGGAGTTTGAATACATTTAAAACTCAAGCTCAAACCTTGTATTTAGAAAAAAAAAGCACATTTTATTTTGCAGTGATATCTGCATGGGCTCTTAAGGTCATGGGAAGTTTCTTTCTATGTGGATTTATTATCAGACTGTATTATAACTTCCAGCAATTGTAAAAAAAAAAAAAAAAAAAAATCTCCTCACAGCACAGCAATTTCAGGCCCTGCGAGTGTGTACATCCATTACACGTTCTCTTTCTCCCAAGGGTGGATGCATAATGAATGTCAGCGGGGTCGGTGAGGTGATGGTAAGGAGAATGGGGTTAACCCAGGACTGCTATTTTTCCTGCAGCTCACATTGGTTACATGGATGTGGGTGGACTTAAGCGTCATCCCCTGCGATTGGGAGAGCTGCTCCTGCTGGTTTTATGACATCCATGGGCGTTTTAATCCTACCAGTGCATATTTGCTGTTTTTACCAGACTGGGTATCGGCACTGGGCCTGTGCTTGCAGGTGTAAACAGAAAGTAGATGATCTACTCTTCAGGTAATTGCTTAGTTACATAAAAAACTAAAATGTAATGTAGACTTTTCTTGGACCCACGACGAAGCGGAATTGTTACCAACTGTAAGTGTCTTCCTGTCACCAATGGTAGTCGGGTTGTGACTGTTGAGAACCAGGAAGCTAATGCAGGGTGTGCTTCATCGTTTCTTAATGTCGACAATTCTCTCTCACTTTTAAACTACAGCAGTGTCTCCAAACTTCTTAGATTTAAACCCTCAAAAACCCCAAATTAGTGTGGTTGCCATTTGTGAACATAGCGACAATGATGCCTTTTAAAAAGAAAACATAGCGGTAATAACCAGATTTACACAGTTGAGATCAGGCAGCCTGCCAAACGCGGCGTCAGAGTAGGAGTGCTGAAAGTGTCACGATATCAAGCATGGTGACATCACGTTTGTTGTCATGCACATTATCATATGACTGAAAGGTGACAGATATTCTAACTAGTGCTTTTAATTTGCGTGACGCTCTAAATACCAACACGAACCACAACAGGAACAACTCTGCACGCGGAGCTCAGTATAACCACGGAGATCATGAAAGTTGAAATAATTATCTGTAAAAGAAAACCGCAGAATATTTTTATCCTTTTGTTGTTGACTTGTTGTTTGCCTGATTTTGCAACTAAAACCGGTTTTCCATGTTGATTAGAAGTAACTAGCAGCAAATTACCTGGCTTAAAAATATCCATTACACATTTTTATGTTATTGCACTTAAGACCTGAGAACAGGAAAGGCAAAAATAGAATCTCAAGTCGCATCAGAATAGTCCTTTAACGGCGAGCCCTGGGGTGTCTTTGAGCATTTGAGTAGAAATTAAAAAGCTTCTTAAATACAGTAATGGTTGGTGTTGGTTGGAGCTTAACGTAGGTGCCGTCTGCGTCGCACAGTGCAGCACATGATTATTGCACTTGCTCATTACTGTCTGAAGTGGGAAATGAATGGTTCTTATATTCAAAGGAATAATAATAATAATCTTGAGTTTTCACAGCTCAGGGCGACACAGTGAAACCTCCGATAAACGACGGGGCACTTAGAGCATAGTGGTTCGATTTGATGAGGTCTGTAACGATACCCACCACTCCCAAAAAATGTGTTTAATTGTTGAGAAGTTTATTACGAGCCATGCTGTGAAAAAGTAACAGTGTCATTTAAAATTTTATTCAAATGAAAGTATGATTTCAGGCTTTTACATTTCACCACACAGGAAGTGATGATAAAAACAATGCAGCTCCTTAATATTAATGAGGAAATGCTGTTAGGAATCTGCATTTTTCAGTTGCTTATTAATGCAATATAAATAATAAATACATAATTCTTACTGTGATTTATTTAGTCCATTTCAAAGTACCCAAGCCTGCTTTAGGAAAGAAAAAAGAAAACAATAATAATTGATATTAAGTGGCTATTCAGCCTTTTCAATGTGCAGATTTTATTTTATAACTATGTTTTGAATTGTTGTTTTGGACAAAACAAGCAATTAGAATATACCACAATGTTTTCAGGGGCTGTATGGTTATTGTGTCTGACTATTATCTGTCATTTTACAGGGGAGACGTTAATCAACATTCATAAAGTTTGGATTTTACATCCCTAGATACAAATACGTTTTATGATAATTGTGTCCAGAAAATGGCACTGTATTTTTTTATTAAGTGGCTTCAGTTATTAGCATTACTGTTGTGCAATTCATGAAATTGTCATAACGGGATTTGGAGATGTGTAGGAATATTTACAGTTTTCTAAGTAAGCCTTAGAAGCTGACATAAGGTGCTTTTATTTTGGTGCTGTTTAATGTTGTATTCAGCAGCTGACCGAAGCTTCTGATCCGTACTTGCTCTAACACATGGTGGGCCGATGGTCTGCGTGCCAAAGTTTTGATGTGACGAGAGAGTAAACAGGCTTCTTGAGTAAATTCCCTTGCTCCGTGTTGTGTTTGAAAACTGGAAATTGACATTTCACTTCCAAGGGAACTTTAGAATGTGACGCTGCTGCTGGCGGCCCGGTTCATCTGTTTCAAAAGGTGACCTCTGCCTCAGATCCAACGTGTGCTTTAACTGCGAATCGGTAAATATTTACTGAGCTGCCCTATGGCACATTCAGATCCTGTCAGATTTACTGCGAGTGTGAGCTGAAGCCCGAGAGAAACTGAGCAGTGATTCAAAATGAGACGTGTGGCGATTCTTTTTCTTTTTTTGTCATCAGATAATAACCCAAACGATCAATCATGTCCACGCTAACACAGATGGTTATAGCAAGTATCATCTCCTGTATTCTTATTTGATTGAGTGTCACATGACCATTTGACCCCATGACTGTCACATTCTCTCTAATGACTTCTTGAGTACATGTAAATGGATCTAAGTTGAAGCAATAAGACGTGTCATGTTTCCATGTGAATGCACTGCTGGTAATCCAGCTCTGCAGGTCATACTCTGGTTTAAAAGTCATGTCCTGTAGGTAATTTGGTGAAAATGGTCATTAAGCGTCCTGCGTGTTTCCACCACGGAGGCTGATAGCTGGATAAGTGAAGTCTCGTGCTCTGCCTTCACATTCGGCCCCCCTGTTTTGTTCACTGCAGCAGTTTCACACAGACATTGATCCTCTTGCATGCCAGTGTAAGGTTACATCAATATGGCGCGGATAAAGGGACTCTGGGGTTGTGTGTGTGTGTGTGTGTTTTGTTTTTTTAAATCCTCAGCAACACAGCAGATCTGATGATGCAGTTTCAGCTCTGCTTCACACCAGACTCCACTTGAAACCGTATCTGAGTTCAGTCTCCAGACCAGGGCCTCCTGTGTAGCCCAACTAACATTTACCAGTTGCATTCATTGGGAGAATTTGTTAATTTATCTGCCCTCCAAGCTTGGTGTTTTGAAGGTGACCGCTAACCTCTAATTTAAGAGACGCAGAGACAGGAACTTCAAATTCTTTAGGCAACAAATCATTTAAAACTAATCTAAATAATTGTTCAGACAAAGTAAAGATTTTGCCTTTGGCTTACCTGGGTAAGATAGACACCATTATTCATTAGTATGCATATGAAACATCTTTTGTTTAAAGTTGTTGTCGAACCAAAAACCCAGATACACAAACTTTCAGGAGTTTGTCCTGAAATTTGAAGTTTGTGACACTGTCCTCATCACTGACTGGAAATGTCTGTTTACTTTGGCTGACTGAGCATATTACTTACTGTCAAAGTACACAAGAAATGGATATTTAAACCGACTCTGAAGTGTAAAAAGTTGGAAGAAATGTGGCCAAAGTCACAGAAACTCATTTTTGCTTTATTAAGTTGGTAATTTGTGTCATTAGGACTTTGGACTGTGACTAAACCACTCTTGTATCCCTCTGCTGCAGAGTTTTAGGTGTTTCTGTGAGCAGCCCGAGTGTGGCCACTAACTCTGTCCCATTTTTTCCTCCCTATCTATTCCTAATATGTTCCCTTGCATTATGCATTAGGCTCTGAAAGCACAGGTGTATTTGTTAAGGCCAGATGTAGCCTCAATATCCCATTGGGCCCAACTAGCCACACCACCTCTTGCAGGGTCGTGTATCATTCTGTGCTTGAACATCACAAAAAGAAAAAAAACAAAACAAAGCGCCGCACCAATTTGTGCTCATGGAGGGAAAATGGTGACCAGTGACAGCATGTTGCGGAGTCCAGCTGGGGGAATTATGACCTCCACCAGTTGGAGCACTGGTTAAATTTAGAGCCCAGCCAGGTGTTTTGTGCTTTGTGACATAAATGGATTTTGTGTGCAGATTTCTGGGTCAAATCAAAAGGGATGGTCGTGGCTGTTTTTGTGAATGCATGCAGATGTTAGGCAACATTGCCGTTTGGATCAGTACAATTAGTGTTTTTAAGGTGGAGGCCAATGATAAACTCCCAAAAAAGACTCAAAGCTAAAGCCGGCTGGTATCAGCTGATATGAGCCTTTTACAAACATTGTTTAAGTTATCAGAATGTTTGTTTTATTAATTCAAGTTCTATACTTCTGTTTGTGTTTTCTTTTTAATACAGTATATGGATAAACTGTAAAATATCAAGCCTCAATGAATTTACGCAAAGA